ATCCGTTTGTATTATGGTAAGACCCTTCATGTGTATGTAATAGTTTAACCAATGCATAACTATACTTATTATATTTCATCTTGCATTATTTGTAATTACAAAGGACTCTTATACTTCATAGAGTATTTTCTGTTATATAAATATGTCACAATATAAAAACACATACAAAATATGAAGTCATCAAAGATTACACTTTGCTCAACATGTTACAAAGTGTTACGAAAATTGTAAGTTGTTAACTCGTTTTAACTTTTCTACACTGTTTTAGAAAAATCATACGAAGTCAAAAACCGAATCCGCAAACTCTGAGAGTTTAGAAAACGTGTCTAGTTTGTTCATAAATTTTATTATGATTTTTAGAATTCTATAACTTGTGTGAAAATGTTCATATTCACACACTGGTCCGAATTCGTTTCTGAAATGATAGACAGTTTTGTAAAAATCACCATAAATTGTATAAAAAATATTATGGAGATGTGCAAGTAGTCATTTTAAAGGTATGAACCTGAACTATTTGCATATTACACAATTTTGAAAGATATTAAGTTTAAGATGGTCAAAACAGTCCGTGAATGGAACTAAACTTTCCTGTTGAAAGCTGATGTTTGAGTTTAGTTAAGTTTTTGGTATTTTAACTTGTATTCTCCCCCTAAAACTTGAAGAAAACATGAAAATGTGGGGGTATGAACTCACCTTGAGTGATCTCTTAGGATGGATGATGAAGAGAAGAAGTTTCCAAGTCAAGAACACTTGGGAGTTGCTTGAAGATTTGAAGATTCTATGAACAAATATGATGATATTTGTGTAAGGATTCCCATGATTTGGGTGAAAGAGTGTAAGATAATCAAGTGAAAGATGAAATTAGTTACCCAAAAGTGAAGGAGAATGCTCAAGAACAACCTTGAATTTCGAGTTTAGAGAGAGTGAGTGAGAGAGAGAAATGGGTTTGCTCTTTGGTGAAGGAGTGAATAATGTGGGAGGAGAGATGAAGATATTCAGCCTTTGATCAAGATCCTTTGCTGGAGAAAGAGAGTAAAAGGATAAATAGTTGACTAGGTAAGGATGAATAGTGACTGATGGTGGCCATAAAGTGGGTATAAAGGATAGCTTGTGCCATAACTTTATGGCAAGGTCAACACTCGACCTCAAAAATCTAATCCACTAGATATGATTCTTAGACAAATATTTCCCTTAATATGTGTTTAAATTATGAATATATAGGGTCTCTTATGCTAAAATACGAGTTTGGGTGAAAATATCGCGTTAAAATCACGAAAAACAAGCTTAAAACGAAGTCGGGGTCGAAAACCGGGTGAAAAGAGTGAAGCTGCGAAGTTGCTCGGATTGGGCCGAAGTTCGGTCCTTGGATGCTTAGAACCGAAAGGAGTTTAGGTTGTTGGATGAGAACCGAAAGGAGGTTCGGTCGAAAGTCTCGCAGGCGAAGCAGTCAGAGGGAACCGAAAGCGAAGGCATGCAAGAAGCGAAGGCGAAGGCTCTAGGGTTCGGTCTCGGATCCGCTTCGGCTCATCAGAGTTTCGATTCTTCAGCCGTTCGGTCCAAGCAGGTTCGGTCATTGTGAGAGGTTTCGGTCCAGGAGGCTTCTTAGGGTTTCGCCTCTAAGAGGGTTTCGCTTCCAAGAGGCTCGGTTCCATTAGGGTTTCGGTCCTATAGGGTTGTTTTTCGCATAAACTTCCCGTTTTGAGTGGTTTTTGACTAAGTTAAGGGTCGGGATGCCCTAAATGATTACAAAACTTTGAGAGAGATTTGGGAAAGATTTCGTTTGTGACCGTTTTGGATGTTTAGCTTCGCAACGCAAGGTATGTAAACCCCGTTAAGCCTCGTTATGAATGTTATACGCCCCCGAGGGGTACGGAATAATGTTTTACCAAGTAGTTTCATCACTTACCCTGATTAGGGTTTAAAAATTCTGAACATATGAATTTTCCAAGTGATAACTTCTTATTAAAATAGCGAGTTGTACAGTAGTAACATAATGTAAACCCTAATATACAAGGGTTAGCTGAGTTGAACGGTTTGACTTGTTGACTTTATTTGACTTTGACTTGACTAGAAATTGACGGTTGTCACATGAGGCCCACTCACAACCCTTCACCCAAACCTGCGATGATCTCAATCATCCTAGAGAATTCCACGATCCAAGTCATAGACTTCCATAACTGTTACAACCACCTACCCACCTAGTGAATGCTATGGTTGCTCCGCACTCTTTCAACACTTCCACAATCGCATACTGACCTAGTGAGTGCTACGGATGCCCCACAGTCTTACATCACTTCCACAACCGCATATTAACCTAGTAAATGCTACAGCTGTGCTGCAGTCTTACGCCACTCCCACAACCGCACACTAACCGAAAACATTACAATTCAAAACCCCATCCTACCGGACTTTATTAGGTTTTTCATGTCATGCTCCAAACCTCAAAGCCTTCATCATACAAGAACAGGCATAGAGGTCCTAACCCATCCCTCGACCTAAACCTAACCATGAATCTATATCATTTGCTCTGATGCTCACCACTGACCAAAGAACAATATTCCTTGCTTAAACCTGAGCCTTATCGCAATCAAAAATGGGTCTCTAGTTGTCTTAGGATGATACCATGTTAACTGACTTTCCCTATTAATCTTTAATCAAACACTATCTTATCTGCACCACCTGATTATCCGTTCAGGGCCTCGGTGACCAAGCGATAGTCTGCTCCACACTCACAATCATGACCTATCTTGGATTCTTCCTAACCTCAAGAAACCTTGGCGCTCCCTCCAGATATATCAACCCAAATCCCTGACATGGGTACAAATTCTAAAATGGCTCGCACTTGGAACTATCCCTGGCGGTCCCAAGTAACCATCCCTCACTTGGATTCATCTACATTTTGATATTCTCATAATCACCATATTACTGAGCAATCCCAAAATCTCCCTGCCTAAACACCACCACACTGAGCTTACTGGACTAAGATCCCATGATCAAACGATATTGGGTGCTCACACCCTAAACCAGATGAAGCACTTTACTATTCTCGACAAAGATTGGCGCATCCAAAGTATCTTCCCTTGATACAATTCCACATCCTTTTACAATCCCAACTGATGACAAGGAACCCAAAAGACCTACAATTCGAAACAGATAGATATTTACTTCATTGCTCTACTTACTACCCAATCAAACCCGAGTCTACTATAGACAATAATTCCATAATCCAACAATTTAGGGCAAACGTACCCAGAAGCCAAGATATACTACCGACAGAACTTGACGAAAGATTATCACATACACTGACCTCCAACTTATACAACTCGAACCCTTCGAATCATCCAAACTATTGACAATGAACGAGAAACAACCAACATTTGAGAATGCACTGACAACAACCCAGTAATCCAACTTATTTGACTGAACTAAACCCATGCAGAACCACACATATCAAACTCTGAAGTTGATTGACAGATCATCCACTACTTATCTTAGACTATAGGTAGCAATATATACATCGAGCTGACAAATCCTTTAACAACCGATACTCGACCCGAGCGACCTAACCACCCCTTGATCAGTTCATAGGCATCCTTAAAAGGGACCACTAGCTACGACCGGCTCCTCGACCCATAGCTTCCTGCCACAAAGACAAATCATGTATTCCCGAGCACATACATATGATGGAAACTTGCTCTGCACCCTTGTCTCGAACCAAAGCCTCGCATACCCAAACCGCCAATCCCTACAACCCATTCTTCTAGAACCATGAACTCAAACAGATCAATGATCTTCCAAGTAGCATACCTAGTTCTCCCCCACTAGGGTTCAAACTATCACCAACTGATGTTTCAGACAAACCACACCTCAAACTGACTCAACCAGATACATACCATCCCTGACTCTTAGAATGCATAACATAACACAAAACGATCTCCCAAATAAGGTCCCAAAAAACTCAAGGACATTCTGAATCTCAGATGGAGACCTCGGAAACTTCCCAATCATAATCGCCTCTATCATCAAGAATTTCATGTAGATACATAGGAAACAACTCTGATAATCCCTTCGTAGCACCGATTCTCCATCCAGGAACAAATGAACTACCACATACTTCGCCTATGAATCTCTGACCTTCACCCCATCGCGAGACTCAATCAGAAAACAAGAGGCATAATCCTCATAGTTGAGATACAACATAGACAACGAAAATTGTCGTTTCCGATTCACTTCTCATGATCGCCTGGAACCACCCACTAAAACATGCTCTAACTAAACTCAAAGAAGGCATACCCTTGTACCTATCTCTTATAGTCTCTACGAACATGAATCTCTTTCCACATATGAAATTTTATCGAGGCGATCAAACCACAAGAATCCTCTCATCCACTTCCACTACTAGAAAAACAGCCTTTTATGACGCGCAATGCGTGTTGTAAAACGCTCAGACGACGCGCAAATGCGTGTCAAGAAAGGCCCTGTCATAACGAGAGACGACACGCTTTTGCGCGTCGTTTATAGACGACGCGCATTTATGACGCGCAATTACGACACACTATTTACGACACACATTTACGACACGCAATGCATATCAAAGAAGGCCCTGTCATAAAGGAAGACGACACGCATTTGCGTGTCGTAACCTTACGACGCGCATTTACGACTCGCATTGCGTATCATTAAAGCCCCTGTCAAGGAAGGCCATGTCATAAATGAATATGACACACATTTTTGCGTATCGTAATTTTATATGTTTAAAAAAAATATTATTTATAGATTTACTAATTTTCAAATTAAATTTGCATTTAATGTCTCATAATAAATAAAATATCATATACAAAAATACAATCCATTGCATAAAATTTAATGTCATACAAATAATCGTTCCATGGAAAGATAAAACAAATCAATAAAAGTTGTAACGGAAAATTACAAACTAATTAGATACAAGAAATATGAAAAACTTGAAATCCCTAAGATTAATAGTTCTAACAGAAGCTTCACGTGAGATACATACAATTGGACCAGTAAGCAAGGATGTTCCCGAATCCACAATAGCAGCACAAGAACACGTACACGATATCTTCTACAAGAAGGTGCCAGTCCAAAACTACTGTTGAAGGTTGCCATGATAGCTGTTAAGATTTAAGCATAACAAGAAACCAATCAGTGACTATAATAAGCTAGAAAACAAGCAACTAATAAACAAAATAAGCAACTAATTAAGTCAAACTATGACTATGCATACAAATTGGCAGCAAACAAGTAAATAAATGAAGAAAGTTACCTTCCATTGAAATGGATTAACAAGTTCAACATATTTCCCATGGCCTAAAGCAGGTAAGTCAACACGAGAAGGAATGTAGTCAACACGAACAACAACATGCCACTCTTTTGTAACAATGTAAGCATCAAGTGTAAAAGTTAATACAAAAGCTGTAAATCATGAAATGCTCATAAAAAATCTAAATCTCTTCAAAGATACTCATATGTAGCAACTCCAACCCCAACTGTCTCTAACTTTTCCCACTCTTTTGTAACAACTTGAAAACAGGATTCATATATTGCAGAAAATTGACCAAGTCTGAACCAATATCAGAGAAAATGAAGTAATCAGAATGTGCACATGTACACATGGCAGTTTAGCAAGGATAAAACTGGAATAGACAAACTTACCTTTCTGTAATGAAGCTAAGCTTCCACTCTCCCCTAAAGTACTCAAAAAAGATGCACAATGATCGAAAGCCATCTATGTTCAGTAACATCAGGTAATATATTCAAAAAAACTTGTAACACTTCTTCTGGATTTTCAGTCCTTGATAGCCAACATGGGACAATAGTGGAAATCAGGTCTTCAAATACTTTCTTGGAGTGACTATCCCACTGCAGAAAACAACTTGTATTAAAAAAACGACACATTTACAGATTATGAATACAATTTATCATAAATATTAATATATTATTACCTGTTGTTACTTTCTTTTTCTTTTTCCCATGTGGGGTACCAGTTGATGGACTTGATTTATCCAAAAACATAATCAAGCATGTGTTGCACCATTGATGTGGAAATCTTTATCTGTAACAAAGCGATTCTAGCAGCATTTTGAATGTCACCATTGTAGCTTCAAAACAAACACACGAGTTCTTGAAAGAGAAGCTCTTGTGTTTCAGACTTGAAACTACCATATAGAGAGCTATTAAGACATCTTAAAACAGTCACACATGGCTGTATGATGGATTGATCTTCAAAGTATGAACGATCAACCTGAAGAGCCTTCAAAATATATGATTCAACAGCGGGCCCACCAGTTGCTGAGGTAAGCTTTGTACATCACTAAGAAGAGGGAGAAAAAATTAATTCAATGAAATACTGAAATATTGTTATTACATAGTTATATAGATTACAACAAGACACTTATTTGTAGCATATAAGTTTTCACCATATGAGGGATCTTTTAGACTTTGACTGAGTCTCCTCAGTGATGCACCATGAATTTGGAAATGTGCTAAACTACAAAGATTAAAATATACTTTTTTTTAATTCATAAAAGAAATATTAAAAAAAAATTAGGGTTGTGGATGCTTACATTGCTGAGAAGTTTTGCTCCATACCATGCAGAATCTGCACCGTAAGGAGAAGTGATAACACGAATTCCATTGGATATGGAGGGAGGTAGAAGATCATGTACTTCCTTTTCTAATCCTTCTACAATTAATTAAAACATGAAGCATTTATAAATTAATATTATATTAAAAATTAAAAACATTTATATTTATAAATTAATTTATACCTGGTAACCCTGGTAAACCATGCAGTGCCTCCAGCCAACACAACTGTCCTGAACCAAGTATGATCGGTTCTCATTTTGGCAGCATGGCAACGCTCAATGCAATCTGCCACTGCCTGATGTAGACCCATTGTATTTCTGAGACCAAAAAGGGTAAAATTGGAAATTATATAAAAATAATTTAAGGGCATAAGTTTATAGATATTAAAGTGGATAAAAGATTACATTCCTTTGTTGATTCCGTCATTGTAAACACTAACTTAATGCTTGTAACATGATTCTTGTGTATTAGTGATTATGGTAAGAGGATGAAAGACTAACATACTTGGGACAACAGATGTTTGATGGAAACCAATATTTACAAGAATTCCAGGTGTTCTTCTTGCTAAAAACAAAGCTAAAGTTGCCTGCATACCTGTTTGTGCAATGCTTCCATGGCATGTACACCTGCTTCAGCATCCTTGGCTGAACATTTAGAATCACGAGCTGCAGCTAGTGGTTTCCCATAAGTTGCTTGAAACTACAAAAACACCCAAAATCAGTTGCATTGCATAACATAGGGATTATATTAGTGTAAATGATATAAAAACATACCTGTCTCTCTGTTCCAAGAAATCCGGCCATCAAAAAGTCAAAAAAAGACCACAACTCCAACACATTATATATTCTGCATAAAACAAACCATAGTCAGAATAACTAAACTAATCAAATCTCCAATTCAATGAGCAAATAAACAAACCTGAATTGGTGTTCCAATTAATATAAGCATGTGTTATGCCTTGAGCTGTTTGACAACACATGTGATTTTCGATTTTGCATTCTTAATTATATGCCCTTCATCCAAAACACAATAGTTCCAAAACATCTGTCTCAAATGCTAAACATCTATACGAATCACATTGTAGTTTAGAAACTTTGAAGATATAATAGAGGCATCAATGAAGATATAACAAAGGCATCAATGAAATTTTCAATCTCATATACCCAGTGTCCAACAAGGGTAGATGGGAAAATGATTAAAGATGGAGGGTCCTCATTGTTATTTGAAGTTCTTCGTTCCACAATATCAGATGCCATAATTGCTAATGCTTGTAGGGTTTTACCAAGCCCCATATCATCACATAAAATTCCATGAAGGTTAAACCTCTTTAAAAAGGCTAACCAGTTTATACCCTCTTGCTGATACCTTCTCAGGGTGACTTTCAACTACTTCTAGACAACAGGCATTCACTCAATCCAGGAGGAGGAGAGACACCACATGCAAGGGGTAAAAGAGGGACAAGGGCAGCAAAGCTGTGTGTGACACTTCTTCTAACAGAATGATCACAATCACTCATACACCTTAAAAGAGGGACAACTAACAGCCTTGCATAAGGAACAAGATCAGTGCCTAATCCTTGAACAAGTAGACTCATTAGCATCCCTGCTCCTTGTCTAGCATTCACAGATGCCATTTCACCCAACATAGGGATTATGTTTTCGATTACTGAGCCCATGATGTTGACTGTCATTGACTTTGCCATTGATGCGATGCATCTTGAAGCAGATAGTCTCACAGCAACATGAGAATGGTGGACACAGGTGAAAATGCATGGGAGGAGTGTCATTAGTTGGGGGCGTAATGTCTCATCTACCATTGAAGCAATAGATCGAACCACCTAAAAAAAATAAATAAAGTAAAAATAATTTATGTAAGATCTTGCTTGTTACCCTTTAGCATATGTAATAATTTTTTACCTGGATATTATTTATCAAAACTTGATACATTTTCCAATTTAGCCTTTTTGACTTTTGGAAAAATAAATATCATATTTATTTTTCTGTAATGAAGCAAGATATGAAAGGATTTCAATGTGACAAACATAGGAAACTAAATCTTGTATAGGATAAAAAAACACACCAATCAAATACCTGCCACATATGAGATTGGAGTTTGGCTTCTAGAGCATGACTTAAAGCTACTGCATTCAATTTTGAGGCCTCCATTAAGAACACCTGAATGACATCACGAGTAGGTTGAAGGCGAACACCACCAGATGTTACAATGGTCTCTAATAACCTCCCTTCACGACTCTTTTCATTCGAATAACTTGAGCTTGCATTCCCATTTTTAGTATCTATTTGACTTGTTTTTAGATCTTGATCCCAAGATCCAGATGCATTTGTTGATGACCTAGAAGAAAGTGCAGCCTGACTAGAAAGTTCTTTGCTATCAGAGTAACTCGATTCATTAGTCAATGATCTTCTCAGATTAGGGCCCCTGTTCAACAAACAAACAAACCAAAGTTGACTTATATTGACCATGTTCAACAAACAAACAAACCCATCAAATTATCTTATTTAACAAGTGTTGAATGAAAATTGATGATTGATGATGCTTACTTGGCAGACATCCACAATTATTGAATCATTTCCAGCAATGTGATTGGCCCAATATTCATCAGCAACTTCTTCATCAGGTCGACCATCTGCATCTCTGGATTTTATGTAAGGCTTGTGTTTCACACGGTTTAGATCTTCATGTAATCCATCAAGAAAAAATGCTAGAAGCTCCTGAAATAAACATTAAAACATAGATATTCAATGCTCTTATCTGAAAAGACTGTTCTGAAAATGTAACGAGTTGAGTTAAATGGTTACCTATCTTGTACCCAAACATCAACTTGATCTCCACTACACCAAGCATAATCTGAAAAGACTGTTTTGCCCCTCTTTCTACTCCCTTCAAATTGCATGGTGGTCACATCAATATTCAATGCTCTTATGCTCCTAATCCACTCATTTATTGTGTTCTTTGAAGTCAAAAGACTGTAGATATGGGAAAATAAGTAGTAGAGAAGAAAGATATGGTGTCACCTATAGAAATCGAAAGTTGGAAAAGTAGTACAGACTACACTAACAATTATTGTAGAACATGATTTAAAAATTGAGTATTATATACAAATTTAAAGTAGTCGGAATAAGAAATTGAACATTAGTGTGTAAAATAGTTAAATAAATCAGAAGAATTAAGAGTCTCTAAGATTCACTGTGGAAGAGTCCGCAGTTTCCCGTCATTCCAAAATCGGGATTCCAAAATCAGAAATCGGCATACTAATTTCAGAAATTAAACCCAGAATCGCGTTTTGGAACTATTTGATTACTGAATCAAACTCGTTCAGGGTACCGATTGGAACTATCTCGACACCGTATCGATTTGTTATCCGGGAATCGTTTGGAACGCTTTCGTACCACGATTGGGTACAGGTGATATACAGTTTGAGTTTGCATCTACGTTTCTGAGAATGAGAACAATAACAACAACAGCAAAAAAAATATAGCAATGATCAGACTGAGACTGATTTCATATCCTCTTGCTATACGAATTTAAAGTAATCAAAACCAAACACCTGGTTCCATAAAACCCCATCGCTAACATTTACAAGTTCAGAATAACTTCTAACGTCATGTGCGGAACAATTTCACACATAAATGTAAAGTGAGCCAAAAACCCTAAAACGGAGTAAATAGCAAAATCGGGTATTTTCGAATGCAGAAGATGAAATTGGGAAACGATATATCGAAAAACAAAAGAAAAATATCAAAATTAACACCACTGTACAAGTACATACAATTACAAACAGTCTTCACACACAAAAAATATACATTGACATTGAAGAAGGAGACTAAAACAATGAAATATGAGAAAGCAGAACTTACTGAGTGAGGGTTGAGCGAGCTAGCGAGAATTCTGGAGATGGAAATGAAGGAGGGTTGGATCTAGAGATGATATGGGCAGCGAGAAGAAGAAACATGAAATTTTGAGAGATGATTTTGGCTCTGAAATATTTTCGTTTCTCCCTCCAAATTGTTAGCGTTGTTCATCAAGGGGTTGAGAAATTGAGGAATGTTATAGAATTTAGATGGATAGATCATAGATGGTTTACCTTCACCCAATCTTCCCATACATCATCATCATAGCATATTAGGGTTTTTTTTAGAGGGGATGTAAGAACTAAATGTATGAGAAATCGGCCCTATCATAAGAGCCCAAGGGGATCTCTACATCAAAATGAGGCTTTCATCTCAAGGGCACCTGACGTCAACATGTGGCTGCCAATTAGGGTTTTTTTTTTTCATGTAGAGGATGTAGTTGGAGGTTTTCTTGCAGATTAAAGCCCGAGTTGTGTTGGCCGAACGAAGAAGGGTTGGAGGTGCTGGATGTAGGTGAAGATGAAGGCCCTAGGGTTTCTTTCTAGCCAATTCAAAGATTAGCATCGATGGAAGAAGGTGGAGGCATCATCAGTAGACGGAACAAGGGAGACAGAGAGAGGAGCAAATAGGCGGGGGGTTTAATTTTTGGGATGCCACCCCCCCCCCCCCCCCCCCCGGACTAAAAACGAGCATTTCATTAAAAAAAAATTATAAAACGACATGTTCAGATGACGCACATTTTATAATAAGCGGCCTCCGTGTTTTTTTTTGCGAGACACTAATTTTAGGCCACGCAAAAATGCGCGTGCTAAATTCTTCAAATTTCTAAAGATCTAACATTATTTTTAGGGCACGCCCTTTTGCGTATCATTAATCAGTGCGTTTCGTAAAAAACGCGTCATTAAAGGTCTGTTTTCTAGTAGTGTTCCACCCTTTCCGCAAATACTGCAACCATCTAGTTTCCCCAACTGGGTCGTCCTCCAATTTATGAAATCATACGCTCACTATCTCTTTCTCCCAACATAGAAAACTAGAAGAACAAAATCATCATTATAGGAAATGACATCATAAGCCATCAGCCGATCACTCAGCCTGAAGGCTGCAATCTTCAAGCCGCTCATCCCAATTTCTCCCTCTTTGAGTCCCGCGACTCAGACTGGCACTACTTAAGCACCCCCCCCCCAAGACCTCCAAAATCAAATACTCATCTAGATTTACACCATTCAATCCCAACCTGACATGGCCATTAAGGCCCAAACAATCATCAGACCCGTCTTCATCCCAGACAGCTATAACCGAAAGGTTGATAAATACCAACATGCTGCAACGGATTCATGGTGCTAAACCATGTTCCTACCCTCCACCAACTCCTTTGAATTTCTGTGACTTTCCATGATTCACGTATGGATCCTATGCTTCAGTAGTACGGGCCCAATACTACCTTCCACATCTATCTGTATTTTCCTCAAGAACGATCCCGAATCCTCTAAGTGTAACACCCGTCAAAATTAGGTCAATAACAATCACATGTGATTATGCCAATCATGTAATGTGATTTTGTTAAACTAGTAATGTGATAAAATTACTATGTAATCCATGTTAAAATATGAAATTTCATGATACAACTCAAAGTATACGTCCATACGATTCCAAAAATGTAGAGAACATCTAAATCTGACTTCGCGTGAAGAAGTTATGATAAACCGAGCACTATAAATCTCTATAATAAGAGGAATTTAAAATAGACTTAGAATTAGCTATTGGAGTCTAAACGAAAGTCGTAGTACTTGGAATTAGCTACGCGTGCATATAAAGAACGTCAAAAACGGAGTTCGTATGCAAAAGTTATGGCCTTCCGAAGATGCAGCTGTCTAAGGGCATGACACGTGGCAAAAACCCTAGCCGCCTTAAGCCACGACGTGAAACGTGTC